ACGGTGCTGCAGGGATTATATATAGGTGTAGTAGTACCTCTTCGGGCTCTTGTACACCTTTTTCTTGCTACGTGTGCGTGTTCTTTAGATCCTCAGATGGCTCCAGCACTTTCGTGACCACGGGCCGAGAGTCTTTGCTAGATTTTGGCATTTAGCAACTGGCATACGGTTTAATGTGAAGTCAACAACAACAACAACAACATTGCCCGGCGGCCATTGTTGATTTAGACCGGAAGAAGAGTTGATAGATGATGTTGTTTCGCAGGGGCGGAAACTGATTCCTGCCCCGTTGCCATGGTTGTTATTGGGCGGGAAGAGTCGCCGTTCGGTATCCCATGGTTGGAGGGGAAAAGGAGTTGGGAAGATTCTTGGGGGGGAAATGATTGATGAAAGGGTCTGATTTCCCGACAGGTCAGGGTACATTTCCGAAAACAGGGTACAGTTGTTGAGAAAAGTGGTCAAGGCAGGGTATACCCTGGTCGAAAAGCGACACACCGGGGTGAAATTGGGCGGTGACCAATCAAGTGAGCGCATTTTCTGCTGTCAATGACTGTGTATTACTTACTTACCTTTTTTTTCTTTTTGTTACTGTTTGTTGTTTGTTGTTGTTTCTCACATTAGCTCTAAAAAAGAAAGATTAGGAGCCCGTGGTCTCAAAACCCGGCATACACGACCCCACGAAGAAACAGAAAAAAATAGGGTACAAAAACCACTCGGAAGAGAAACAAAATGATAGAAAGAAAGACCAGCTACCGCACCAAACGAGAAAGAGCGTCGAGGAGACCGATCAAAATAAAATAAAAGGAGAACGGGGAACGCTTCCCACACCCGCCTACAACGCCGGAGGGTTCCGTGCCGGGTTCCCGCCGACCAGGCATCCCCCGCCCTGCACCACACCCCAGGGGGTGCAGCAAGACGAGGGGCGAAAATCAAACACATATGTATATATTCCCACAAAAAAATTAAAAAATCGAAGGACAACGTACACCAGTACCAGGTACTACAGCAGTGCAGTATGCACCAGCGCATTAGTGTAGGGTAGGCACCGCAC